TAGATGCGACACTGCTTTCAACCTTATATATTAGAGTTCCAGCGGCGAGTGCAACACTGTTGTTCTGCTATCCTATTCTTGGCCGACACTACTTACCCCAGATAATGACATGCCATGAGGTGGCAACATTCTGGCGAAAACTGGAGAGGTGAGGTCGGTTCAAGATTTACCAGGGGGATGTCGGCGGCTCAACAGTGGTTGCAACGCAACTGACTCCGGGCTGCCCGATCAGGATGCAGTGCAACTGGCCGTGGTCTGGGCCAGACCCTGATATCTGCCGCCGGCTACCCTCGGAGTGACGGGTTATCTATCAGCGTTGACTGTTCTCGGAGATGGTTGTCGAGGATGCGAGATTGACGTCACATCGAAGAGAATTCAAGCGATTCGAGACCATGATGGCAAGAAAAGAAAGAAAGACAACACTTCCCAGCCCCTTAATCTAGGGAGGAAACTGGCCGAGATTTGGCATCACACCCCTTCAGACCGTAGGCTGTCCATCTCGATGACGTTACCTCCCCTAGGCCGGTGACATGCTGGCAGTGCCGCATGTTATCAATTCTGGAGGCCCCCATAGGGCAGTTACATTGGTTGGGCTGCAGTGTATGTTGGTGCCACGCTCGTGCTCGACGGTGGCATCATGTGATATTGCCACTCCTCTCCCTCGGCCCTTCCACTTGTAAGTCTGGAGTCGACCACACGTAGTCAGTAAACGATCGAATAACACAAACCGGTCCCAGGACTTGCAGTCCGCTCTCTCAATCCTACTTCAATGTCCAACGCGTTATGGTGACTGACGCCGCCTCCTGTCACGACGTGGAACTGAAGGACGATATCATCCTCAGGCTTAGACGTCTAGAGGCTCAGTGATGGAGATTATGCCGTTTGATAAGGGGTGTTATACCACTCGACGATCCTTCCGTCGACACGTCCATGGCGATCCAGTTATAGTTACCCCAGATCTCATCTGCCGTAATTGTCGGGGTCCTATAACATGGCACACTATAGACGGTGATCGTCGGTAGTAGGGTTATACAATAGGCAAAATACCGAGTGGTATGCGCCTTGCAAAACAAACGTGTCCAAAAGAGCCTCGCCCGACAGAAGTGTATGCAAAGGGTGCAAAAGGGCTAATGCGAAACGCCCATTGTCGCAAGCGGTCAATTCTTCACCATGTATGCGCACCTTCTAGTGGCGGCAGGCTGCATAGCCTGGCATGCACTTGCAGCAACACCGCCCTCTGACTTCCAAGCGAACCCAAAGGTCGGGCCTGGGGGGACAAAGTACAAGGACTCGCCTCATTTCCGCATCTACAACGCGCCCAACGACACCATCGCCGACGCGACCATCAAGAGCCTCGAGTCGGCCTACTCTTGCTTCGTGGACGACCTGAAATGGCGCTCGACAGGCCTCTCCTTCCGCCAAGACAATGACGACGGGCCGTTCTACAAGCTCAACATGTACCGCGTCGACACGTTGCCGGGAGCGGCGGCCAATACCGGCACGGACCAATCAGCCGGCCTCAGCTTCCTGAACGTGCTGACACAGTACATGACCGAGCCGTCCATCACGGTCCACGAGTTCGGGCATGCCTTAACCTATGCGGCGCGGTACTGGATCGACCAAGGCCGCACGGGGGCTTGGTGGGAGACGGTCGCGCAGTTCGTGGCGGACACGTACATCACGTCTCCCGTCTGCGCCGCAGCTAGAGCCCGATACGGTCAGCCGGAGGGCAAGACCATGATAGATCTCGGCAAGGTGATCGGCGACTCGTACCAGGTCATCGTCGACGGATCGAAGAACACGGGGAATTACTACCAGGCCTGGCCGTTCCTGGTGTACCTCTTCAACAACCCGGACAACTACACGGGTTTGGGCCACGACATCTTCCCGAACGTCTGGACAAAGTACAAACGCAACAGCAACGAGACGCCGCTGCACGTGCTGGACCGACTGGTCGGCCCGGCGGTCAAGATCCAGGAGGTCGTGGCGCGGTACTGGGCGCGCATGGCGTACGTGGACATCGGGCACGCCAAGGCCCAGGCGCAGTTCGCGAGCCAGAGGAGGAGCCTGAACTACGCAAACCTCGACGCGCAGCAGGGGAACGGGAGGTACAGGGTCAAGGCGGCGAGGCAGCCGCGGTACATGGGCGCCAGCATCATCCCGCTGAAGGGGACGGGGCCGACCGGGACCGCTGTTGGCGTTAATGTGACGGCGAGCGCACCGTTTGTTGCTGCGCTGGCGGTCAAGGCGGCGGGAGGGGCGGTCAGGTATGTCGGTCTGCCGAAGGGAAGCGGCCAGGCCGTGATTGGGGGCGGAGAGGAGGCGACGCTCGTGGTGGTGAATACGCCTGATGCGCTGGACTTGTATGATCCGTTCTCGCTCACTGCTGATGTTAGCCGTGGGCTGGATTTTCAGCTTCAGCTGACGGGTGCAACTGCGTGAATCGCCTCAGTCTGTATGCGTGGTGTTAGTCTCTACCATTTGTCGAAATATCATTGCCTTAAACCTAAGTCTGAGCTTGTAGTCGGTGCTCAAAGAGGCTCGTACGATGTGTGTGGAGAATTATCACCTTCTTTCAACAACCCTTCATCCATCCCATCCAACAAGCGTGGGCATTCCGCAGGGCATTTTTCTGTCGTATTCCAGCGGCAGCTGTGATCTGAGTTGTTGCGCGAATTCTGTCGATGTCCGGAAACATTGAACCAGCGCCGAGAAGACCGCAACGCCTTCATGCAAAGATGATGTGGCTAGCCCTGGTGAGGAAGGTCGTCGCGAGAATTAGGCCAGCTGGCGTCGCTGAACCGAAGGGTCCACAGGGATCCGACCAACTGGAACGTGCTGCCGAACCGCTTGCTCGGGCCGCAGTGGGTCTTCGATTCTGCCCGACAGTGAGCCTCACATGGAATCATCGCCTTCCCCAATCGCGGCATCTGATTCGGGCTGCATTGAGACGCATATTGCAGTCCGTGTTAGGTTGCAGAAGGAGTGTGAAACTTCTGATGTGTCTCACTCAAGCATGACCGGCGCGCGACTTTCGTCAGCAACGATCGATGGCACCTTGCTGAATTCTGAAGTATTCATGTGTTATTACTCCTCCTCGGATCGAGACCTGGCAATGGTTACTTCATCTTCTTGAGACACTGGACCTATTGTTCAGTGTTGCAAATACCTCAGGCTCGCACACACCCGAATGACCATGTCAGCCTTAGACGGAATCGTGGCCGGGAGCAAGCCGCATGTCGGCATTGTCGGTGCTGGCATCTCTGGCCTTCGATGCGCAGATGTCTTGCTCTCTGAAGGATTCGAGGTCACCATACTCGAAGCACGGGACAGGATAGGTGGACGAGTATATCATCCCTCTAGACTTATGCAAGCCAACCTAATGCTAACGTGCAATCCAGATCTGCCAGTCTGATGGCCTAGGATACACGTTGGATATGTGAGACGGTCCAAGGAATGAATATAGCATCATACCACTGACACACTGTTAGTGGACCGAACTGGATCCACGCGTTCCGGGATGCAGATGATCCACATCCCATATACAAGCTTGCCATGGACACCAAGACACCGCTCCACCACTGGAACAACAAGCAGCTCATCGTTGATTCCAAAGGAGACACCCTGCCCAGCGAGCTGACCGAGAAGCTCTCAACCTTGTTGTGGGAGATCATCGAGGAGGCCTTCAACTTCAGCGAAGCAGCGCACCGACAAAGCGGCGGCAAGGAGATCCCTGCAGAGGATTCACTGCACGATTTTATTATACGCAGAGCGCAAGAGACTGTCGCTGACGAGGAAGAACGGACGCTCTTGATACAAATGAGCGAGATGTTTGGCGCTTACGTTGGTGAGCCCGTATGGAAGCAGAGCTTGCGGTTCGCTTGGATGGAGGAATGCTGCGGCGGCGGTACGTGTCCCTCAACTTTCAACAAGACACTATGCTGATTGTCTGTAGACGAAATGTTCGTGGAGTCAAACTACTCGGCCATACTTACTTCCGTGGCAAAGCCTGCTGTAGGAGGCGCAAATATACTACTTGGGAAGAAGGTGGTAGGAGTATCTACCCCTGAATCCAGAAACCAGGGCCGAAAGGTAACCTTGACGATCGAGGCTGGAGAGACCTACGACTTCGATGATGTAGTCATGACCACCCCGCTGGGTTGGTTGAAGAAGCACCTTGACATCTTCTCGCCTCCGGTACCAAGTACAATCTCGGCCGCCGTCAAGAACATCTCGCTGTCTCAGCTGGAGAAAGTCTTCATCAACTTCCCATCAGTCTGGTGGACTGATGATCCAACCACAAACGAGTTCCCCTGCTACACCAACTGGCTTACTCCCGATTATGCGAAGGACACGAACCCGTCATGTTGGCCGCAGGAGATATGGGACTTGTCGACCTTCGCACCACCGAACAACCACGCGACCCTTCTCTTCTACACGTACGGCGACTGCTCCCGGTACATCGTCAACATGATCTACGGCAAGAGCAAGGAAGAGAAGCACCAGCTGCTTGATGACTTCTTCCGGCCATACTACTCCCGGGTACCCGGCTATGACGCCCAGAAAACGGCATGCAAGCCGAAGGCGAGCCTTGCAACCGAGTGGCTGAAGGACGAGCTCAATGGTTACGGGAGCTACTGCAACTTCCAGGTCGGGATCAAGGAAGCTGACCAGGACCTCCTGGCCATCAAAAACGGCTGCCCGGACCGCAGGCTCTGGTTCTGCGGCGAGCACGCAGCGCCATTCGAGGAGTGCGGGACTGTCGCGGGCGCCTACCTGAGTGGGGAGGCTGTTGGGAAACGGATCGCGGCGCTGTATCCGCGCAGGACTGAAGCAACCACTGTGCGGTAGTTCGATTCAGGGTCGTGGTGTGGATCTGATTTGTGGATGTCGGATGTGGATTGTTCCAACCTGGCGCCCTCTTGTCATGCCCTGATTAGCAGACTTCCATCATCAATGAGTCAGCAACGCTTCCTTTCAACGGGATTCTTCATATCGCGGGCCTACTGGCCCAATGGCTAAGGCGTTCGGCTTCGAACCGAAAGATTGCAGGTTCGATCCCTGCGTAGGTCAGGTCATCCATCCCGTCCCGGGAAGGAACGAGGAGTTGTCGATTTCCTTTTTTGGTGCTTTCTCCTTTGTTTTCTTTTGCCCAATTGCCCGGAGAGACATGCCGCATATCCAAGCTATATCAGATGCCGCTGGGTGTGACGGACATCCAAGTGCACACTCAACGCTCGCTCAATCAACAAAAAAGTTCAGACCCTTGCTATTTGGAAGCATAGACTATCACTTTTCTTTCCACGTTCCCGGGGTACCGGACATGGCACATGTCACAAGGGCAAAAAGGAAACAATCAGAGCACACTCACCCCGAATTGAAAGGTCTCGCCCGGGATCGAACTGGGGTTGACGGAATCAGAATCCGCCGTGATAGCCACTACACTACGAAACCGAGAAGGGGGTATGTCCTGTTGTTATTGCCAAGCAGGAATTAGGGCTTGATATGTGTGAGGGCGGATATGCGGGCGACTCGCGTAGTCCCGCCAATTCAGGGGCTGACAACATGATCGATCCACCTTTGACGACGGAGCGGTGCCGGTTCCTGTGTAATTGAACAGTGAGGTGTTGCTGGACAAACGGGAATGTGTCAACCTAGCTTTTTCTAGAAGTGTGGTAGTAGACATGCTCTCCACTATCTGATACTTGTCGACGACCTACGATCGCGGATTGTAACTCCTCTCACATCGCTTCAACACAGACAGCACGTCTTGCAGCAACGGACGCTTCATACCATTCCCCAAGACACCATCCGGTAGTACGGCCCCTCCTTTCTTCACTTCGGTGATCTCGGCCAGAAACACCTTCGCTGCCTGTACTTCCCCGTCCCACCACCGCCTCGCAACCTCCCTCGTCTCACCCTCGGAAGGGCAGCCACCGTTCCCATCCCAAGCAGCAGGAACAAGTTTCCCCTCCCTTAACACCAGTCCCCTCCCCCTACCAGCCCACTCCGGCGCACCAGCCGTGCAAGCCACGATCAATTCCCGCACCTCCGTAGGTGTCTCATCAAACTCAGGGAACGCGCCCCTCCCCTCTCCAAACCCCGGATCCGGGTCTCTCAACAGCTCGTGATCTATCCCACACCTAACCACAGACCTACCCTCAAATATACACCACAACAGCTTGCCCAGCATGAACGACTGCGCCCGCTCGAGTAGCGTCTCTAAACACCCACCACCATCCCTCTCCACCGCGAGAGCGAGCCACGGCGCGCTGAACCCCCCCGTGACGTTCCTGTACCGCTCCTCCTGCACCGGCGGCGTCCAGGCAGGGACGTACCCCCTCAACAAGGCCGTCAGCTCCTCTCTTGTGGTTGCGTCGGGTGCCCGCGAGGCCAGGATCTCGATGTACTCCACGTACGCCACCTCGGGCGGTGACCAGCTGAACCAGCCGCCCCGCTGTTCGAGGTCGAGGAGGACGGCGTCGATTTTCTGGTCCGTCGGGCTCTGGCGGAGGACGATGTTGTCGGGTTTGAGGTCTGGGTAGAACCCGTTGCAGTGGTTGTTGACGTGGATCAGGGCCGAGGTTATCTGTCGCGCCCAGCGGAAGCGGTCGGACAGTTGACTTGGGGTTGAGGTTGAGGTTGAGGTTCGTAGGTAGGCTGCCAGGGAGCCGAGGGGGCAGTACTTCAGCACGAACCCCGCGACGCCGCGCTTCCCGCCGAAGCGGCACCTGTGCGTCACGACGTAGAGCAGGCGAGGGACGAGGTTCGGGTGCGGCGGGAGGGAGAGCAGCATCTTGAGTTCGTTGTAGAGGTATTTCTGGTCTCGGAGGAGGGACTTGAAGACGTAGTCGCTGTGGGGGGAAGAGGAGGAGGGGATGGTGACGAGAGTAATGGCTTCGTGGATCTGGGAGCGGAAGCGGAGGTCGGTGGTGTCTATCGCTTCCGGCCAGGGAAGGTCGGACGGCCAGAGTTGTTGGAGGCAGTCGATGCTCATCATTGCTTGCTCGACGCTGTAGTTTGGGACGAGCTGGATGGAAGATGCTGTAGCGATGGGGTCGGGGTTGAGTTCTGTGACGATAATCTGCGAGCCGAATGGTACGGATATGTATTGGTCCTCGAAGTCCAGGAGGGAAGAAGACCAGTGTTCTATTGCTTGAAGTAGGTGACGGGAGATGACAAGGTTGGTAACGTGCAGCCTGTCGGTGGTGTAGATGGCCTCCGCGGGCTTTAATGCCTGCCGGACGGCTGGTGAGTGTTCTTCTAAGGGAGGGATGTAGACATCGATGCGCAATGGTGGTGAGCCGATGGCGAAGGTAGGCACGGCGAAGAAGCGGATGCCGTCGATGTCCACGCCATCGAGTCTCCAAGTTGGGGTTCTTGGGGCATGGTATCCATTGGCTGTGCTGGAACTAGGGCCTGCCGGCAGCCATTGCCGCGACTCGTCCTCCGCTGTCTGGTTCTGATGGGAGTCATGATCGCTGTCGGTGTCCTGTGAGTATATGGCCAGTGGGCTGAGTATGTCAGAGAAGATGCTGCTGCTGAGCTCCATCTTTAGTGATGGATGGAAGACAGTACTGAGATGCTGATGTGCCAACGATAGAAGACGGACACTCGAAGGTCAGCCACTGTAAGGTAGCCCACCGGCAGATAATAAGGGGCGACCGTACCCCCTGATTGCCCCCTTCGGTGCCGAAGCGCAGACTCCCAGCGGAGCCGCATTCCCGCCCCGTGACCACACAAGCCAGTATAACTCCAGAATTTCGTCACCGTACTGCATATCTCATGCAGAGATGACGGTGGAGTTCACCTAGAGAGATCGTGTACGTCGAATCAGGAACCGTCGACGCCGTTTGCAGTCATCCAAAACCCAGATGACGGCTCTGCTTGTCCTATCAGAGGTACGTTTATACATCCAAAAGAGGTCTTGCCTAGGCAGCAGAAGTGGTTAAGGGTGTAAGCAATCTTGTCATTGGAGATCATCCCTGAACGAGGCTCTCACAGGAGCCACGGAGTTGTCCGAAAGTGGTATCTTCATCCTATCCCTGAATAACTGCCTTGAAACCTGCACATATTGACCTCCAAATACTCCAGAAGCCACTAAAGAACACAAGTAACACAACTAACAAACCAAGAAAAGTCGTAGATCGTCACATTCGTCATCCCCCGCCTTTCCACACGCCCGACTCAGCCACTCAGGAAGTCAGCCTCTCACTCAACCGAAACTGCACCTTCGGCACATCCACAATATTCCAGCGCTCACCGAGCTCGTTGTCGTCGTAAATGCGCGAGTTGCCCTCCTGCAGAGCCCTAGGCAGCTTCCACGCCAGCGCGGGGTGCCTGAGCCACATCCTCACCAGATACCTCGACGGGCCGCCGTTGTCGGCTTTATCCTCGAACGCCTCTCGCGAGTGCAGCACGCCGTGGTTGTTGATGAAAAACAGGTCTCCCGGCTCGGCGCTCACGACGAGCTGGTTCTCGCCGGCGATCTGCTCGATGAGGTCGAGCGCCTCGCGCTGCTTCGGGGAAAGCGTGGCGAGCCCCTGGGCACGGCGGACCCCGTCTAGCCCGAGGAGAGGCTCGCGCGCAAAGTTTAGCATTACTTTTTGTCCGTGGTAGTAGAGGAGCGGTCGGGTGCTGCTCTCGAAGAACCGGCCGCGGCTGTCGAAGGGCCAGATCGGTTCGGCGAGGAGCCGGGCCAGGTCGGGCCGGGTGGCGGCCAGTTGGTTGTAGACGGTCCAAGAGGAGGCGAGGATGTTTCGCCCCCCGCGAGCTGCGCATTCGCGAGTTTGGAGGGCGAGGATGTCGCAGAATGTGTCTGTGTGGAAAGTCTAGAGGGTAAGGGTTAGCCAGGGGTGCCCACGGTTGGCTGGTGAATGATGTGCTTACCGATGCTCGCGAGGAATAGCGGGTTGGTCTGTCTTTCTGAGGAGCCTTGGACCGTTTTGCGTCACGGATGTGCACTTAGTTACTTGTTAGCCGTCGGTCAGATGTTGCAACCACTGCAATGGTGACAAGGTGATGTCATGGCGTACTCAGCATATTGCCGTCCTCGTCTTGCCTTCCCCTCTGGCTGCCAATGTAGCTAGAGACGCCCAGGAAAACTATGAGGTTGTCCTCCAGCGAGAAGTCCTTGGGATCCAAGCCCCGAATGATGGCAAACCCCCTGCCGCGATGGATATCGAGAGCTGACTTGAGAAGCTTCTCGCCAAGAGTCGGCAGAGGGAAGTTGCTTGCGGACACTTCACTGCCGTATAGTCCGAGTTCTTCCAAGGTTGTTAGTCTCAAAGGTGGTTCGTATCCTGTGTGGTAGAAGAGGCGTCAAACTTACGGTTGAAATATTGAACAGCACCCTTCACCTCGTCGATCTCGTCCTCCGTCAGAGTCAAGATCATCTCCTCTTCGGATGGTAGGGCTGAGGCATCCCATGCGAGATCACCTCTCATGACCTGTGGCCACTCATGGACATTGGGCGAGCGAAAGGTTGAAGTCCTCTTGGGCTGCCGGTCCAAGTGAGGCGTCTCGGTCACCATGGTGGCGGTCGTTGTGCAAGCCATTGTGCGTCGGAAAACAGTCTGAGTGTAAGAGAGTTGTTTACTGTTGCTAAGACTGACCTGTTTCTCCAAACTCAAGCCCTCGGCCACCGCTTACACCCCATCCTCAGGCTCAATTTAACCATCTCGAAAGGAAGGATGCGGCTCAACAAGCTCCAATCACGACTCTGCTTTCGTTAAGGAAGGCAGGCTGATCGGTCTCGAGCCTAGATGTGCAAGACAGAGCCGTGCATCATGCAGGAATACCCGGAACACCAATGAGCACCCGCGAAGCCGTCGCGACCCCTCCATCTTCACGTAAAGAAATTCGGCACCATTGATAAGTCCACCCCGGATTATTGGCAGCGCATATAACCATGCAGCTCACAACCCAATGGAGATCTCGCCCGCTCCAGCCCTACACTCTGTGCAGGATTTCGCATGTTAGTATGGTGACCTGTTGATCGTTAACTCGTCGGCTAATTATGCGATCATCTAATCGTGCGCTGAGGTACCGCGCTAACACGCGTAATCCTGCAA